CACCTGAATGCCCCTAATGACCAGATTTTTATTTGTTTGTTTAGCGTTTACTTATTTTTGAGGGAAAGAGAGAGCATGAGCAGGGGAGGGGCAGAGAGAGGCAGAGACACAGAATTCGAAGCAGGCTCCAGGCTGTGAGATTTTAAAATACCTTTTGAAACCAGGATGCCTGGGTGGCTCATTCAGTTGAGCATCTGAGCATCCGACTTCAGCTCAGGTCATGATCTCATGGCTCACAAGTTCAAGCCCCACATCGAACTCTGTACTGACAGCTCGGAGCCTGGAGCCTACTTCGAATTCTGTTGTCTCCCTCTCTCTCTTTGCCCTTCTCCCACTCATGTTCTGTCTGTCTCTCTCTCTCAAAAATAAACATTAAAAAAAATACACTTAGAAATTAAAATAACTTTTAAATAATTGATGAGTCAGGGAAATCATACTGGATTTTAAAACACAGAGGAAAAAGCATATACTTGGATTTCCCCCAAAGGTTACCGAAAGTTGTTGGAGCACAAAGCCATTCCAAGGGTCCTGGGCACAGGTGCACTGGCCCAGGGAGGTCCTGAGGAGCATGGCTGGGGGCAAGTGAATGTGCTCCATTCAGGAAGCCTTCAAAGGCACTGGAGGTGGAGCAGAGGCCAAAATGTGCATGAAACCACCATCAAACTTTTTGTGCAAAAGGGTGAAGGCTTAAACAACTTCCTGTTTTAACTACATGTCTAGCCTCAGAAAATCACCTAAGGATTACAACATACTGGTTACAAGGGGAGAGACATAGGCATGTGGTGCTAAGCCTAAACACTCCAAGTTCATCTGAGGGCTCTCTTCTTCCTCCCTCTGCCCGCATGGCGTTACCCACGTCATCCATCCCCTGCTAGTACCACCTCCCAGAGGGTCTCCTGCCTCACACTTGCTCTACATGTCTCTCCCCAGGCCCCATCTGCCCAGGAGATGGTGGCATCCTCACCACGGCCCCAGGGCCTGCAGACTTTCCATCAGTGGGCTCAGCCAACCTCATCACAGGCCTCAGGACAGCTCCGCCACCTGGACCAGACCTCACTCCAGCCACCCTTACCTGGCTCCTCTCCGGCCCTCCTCACGGAGGGCTCCTACCTAGAGCCAGGCTGTATGGTTCTATGGCATGGCCCCCTGCCACCATACGGACCATTCCCTCTCTCGATATGTGCTCTGGACCCAAAGGACCACAGGGCCCCCAGACTATGGTAGTATTCACACAGGTCCCGAGACACAGAGCACATCTCAGAACCACCTGGGCTCAGCATCACAGGAAACCCAGTTTCTATAGGACACCGTTGGGCAATACAGTAGACAGACAGAGGACAGACAAGATAGGTGACTCTGCCAACAACTGCTGATAAGACTTGGAGTCCAAGGGCCTCCCCTGACCCAGCCACTGCAGGTCCTGCCCCTGTTCTCCCTCTTCCTTCTCTGACAAGTGCAGGAAGAAGGGAAGGGCCTGCTTGCAACCAGTGCCTTTCGGCCACCATCACCCCCACACACCTGGCTGAAGCTGGGGCATGAAAAAAAAGAGGGCTCTCCAGAGCTCCAGAATTCGACATGAAGGGACAGCATACGGGCAACTTGAGTGCACGTGAGATCCTAAGCTCACACCCAGAAGGCCAGCCATCCCACTCCTGTGTACAGGCCCCAAAGGCATGAAAACATGTGCCCACACAAAGAATTATACACAAATGTCACTAGGACCTTTACTCATAACAGCCCCAAACTGGAAACATACTAGCCCCAAAACAAGTGTCCACCCCTAGGCAGAGAGAAACGACACATGGTACAAGAATACAATGGAACTGCTCTGCCATCGAAACACAGACCCCAACCGTGCAACATACGTGCGTCTCAAAAACGTCACACGCAGGGAGACACCAGACGCAGAGCACATACTGATCATTTCCTTTGTGTCAACAAAGCCCCTACGAGGCAAAACTGACCTAGGGTGATGAAAATCAGCCAAGACGGTGCTGAGAGGGCAGAGAGGCCACGTGGAGGCCATGAGGAAGAGGTCTGCAGGGATGGTAACACTTGGTAGAGATTTGCATTATTAGACATAAGAATTTGTCAAAATTCAGACTGGCTTAAGATTTACTTAAGATTTGTGCATTTCACTGTAAATTTTTACTCAAGGTAAGACTGCAAACAAATATTGAACTGTAGGTAATGACTGGCACACATGCTGAAGTGTTTAGGGTGAAATGTACAGGAGTATGCAACTTGTTAGGGTGAGTGTACGTACGGGAGTATGTGATTTGAAACGCATCCCATTAAAAACAGGATGGCTTGTCGGCCAGACAGAGGAGGGACTGATACACAACAATGTAAATACAGCAACATGCGGCCTGTAGGGCACCAACGGCAAGGATGCACGTGGGTGCTCACATGTAAGCCTTTCGATATTCTGGTATGTCTGGGGAAAGGGGCAGTAGCTTTCTAACATTATGGATAAGAGACCGAGTTAGACAGTTCTCTAAGATAGGATGTGTGAGGAGCAAAGAACAGTGAGAGAGCACCCTGAAACCGGAGTATTTTAGGGGCTTTGAGGAGAAGGGAAGATGTTAAGCCCAGCCAAAGGAGCCTGAGGAGTGAGGGGTATTCCTAAGGTTGGCTGAGGGCACAGCAGGGCAAGGGCTGGAAGAGAGAATGCGAGAAGGAAGCACAAGGTGGGGTAGACTGACCTCCATTCCTGATTGCGGTGATCCCTCGGTAGAAGTCCTCAAAACTGATCACGCCAAGCCCGCCGGGGTCCAAGTATTTCGTTAAGTCCTTCACCTGCAATTGTCAAGTGAGAGTATGTTACCCAAGCCGTACAAAATCAGAGGGAGAGTACACCAGGTGTCGGACCCCTTCACCACATTCAGAGGAGCAGCCTTCTTGCAAGGTGCGGTACTGAAAATAAGAGCCATTTATTCCTCTGATCCGAAGGCCACCCACAGCTCCAGCCAAACACAAGTGGCCTCCCAGCAGAAAGCTGCCAAAGGCACCTGGGACCATGAATCGTGGAAGTGAAGGCTATGCTCTCAAAGGTCAATAGTCATGCTTCTTGGGCACCTGGGGGGCTCAATCGGTTAAGCGTCTGACTCTTGACTCAGGTCATGATCTCACAGTTTGTGGGATCCAGCCCTGCATTGGGCTCTGCGCTGACAGCCTGCTTGGGATTCATTCATTCATATCCACCCACCTTCCCCCTGCCCCTCCCCCACTTGCGCTCACCTGCTCTCCCCCCACTCCAAATAAAAATAAACTTTGAAAAAGAAATTAGTCATGCTTCCTAATTGTGAAGATTGGAAGTGTCGAAGTTTTAGATATTCTAGCCAGTATCTAGATTATTACTACAGCACAGTCCCACCTATCCATTCTGACATGCCTTTCCAACTGTGCAGAGTCCTTAGTAAAAATAACTTAGGCAAGAAGATGCTGGATATCAAAAATCTTAAGTAAGATGATTCACACATGGATGTTAGAGAATGAAACTCTTCAGAAAAAAGATATATTTATACTTTCAAGTATAAACTGTGTTTCATCAAAATTTAAAACTTCTGCGCTTCAAAAGACACCATTAGTAAAACTAAAAGACCAGACCTAGACTAGAAGATATTTGCAAATCATATATCTGGATAAAGGACTTGTATCCAGAATGTATAAAGAAAACTTACAATTCAACAATACCACAATTTTTTTTTTTTTAATGGGCAAAACATTTAAACAAACATTCTACCAAACAAGATAGACAAATGGCTGGGGCGCCTGGGTGGCTCAGTCAGTTAAGCATCCAACTTGCAGCTCGGGTCGTGATCTCACAAGCAGGTGGGGTGGGTTTGAGCCCGCATCGGGCTTTGTGCTGACAGCTCAGAGCCTGCAGCCTGCTTCGGATTCTGTGTCTCCATCTCTCTCTGCCCCTCCCCTGTTTATGCTCTGTTTTTCTCTCAAAAATAAACATTAAAAAATAAAATAAAAATAAATAAATAAGATAGACAAATGGCTGATAAGCACATGAAAAGATGCTCAAGATTGTGAGTCCTCAGGGAAATGCAGATTAAAACCGAGACATCACTCACCAGAATGACTGTATCCAAAAAAACCAACGACAACAGGTGCTGGGGAGGGTGTGGGGACCTGGAACCTCACACAATGCCAGGAGGAAGGTAAGACGGTCTGGTCAGTGGGGAACACCATTTAGCAGCTGAAAAGTCAAACACAACTACACCACACAACACAGCAACTCCGCTCTCAGGGATGTCCCACCACACATACAAAGGTGTGCATGCACATGTTCGCAGCAAGCAGCATCACTCCCGCCAGGTAAGAGGAGAAGGAACCCACTGTCCATCACGTTACGGGAGGAATGGGTAAACAAGGGTCTAGCCATATCATGGGCCACTATCTGGCCCTAAAAAGAAATGAAATAGTGACACATACAACATGGATGGAATCTCAAAACCATTCCGCCAAATTAAAAACCAGACACAAAAGACCACAAATTATATTCTTTCATTTATAGAATGCTTTCGGAAAAGACGACTCTACTGACATAAAAAGCACATCAGCGGTTGCCTGGAACCGTGTGGGGTGGCGGAGACGGGCTGCAGGCAGCATGAGGGACCTTTTGGGGTGTGGAAACACTGAAGTAGGTTGTGGGAGCTGCACGATCCTATACGCTTACTAAAATTCACTCAATCATATACTTACAATGGGTGAATTTTATGGCATGTAAACTATACATCGACAGGGGCACCTATGCGGCTCAGTCGGCTGAGCGTCCGACTTCGGCTCAGGTCATGATCTCACAGTTCGTGGGTTCGAGCCCCGCAACAGGCTTTGTGCTGACCTCTTGCTCAGAGCCTGGAGGCTGCTTCGGATTCTGTGTCTCCTTCGCTCTCTGCCCCTCCCCCGCTCATGTTTTGTCTCACTCTGTTTAAAAAATAAATGAATGTAAAAAAATTTCAAAAATATTACACATTGACAAAGCTTTTAAAAATAAATGGATAAAGGGGCGCCTGGGTGGCGCAGTCGGTTAAGCGGCCGACTTCAGCCAGGTCACGATCTCGCGGTCCGTGAGTTCGAGCCCCGCGTCGGGCTCTGGGCTGATGGCTCAGAGCCTGGAGCCTGTTTCCAATTCTGTGTCTCCCTCTCTCTCTGCCCCTCCCCCGTTCATGCTCTGTCTCTCTCTATCCCAAAAATAAATAAACGTTGGAAAAAAAAAATGGATAAAAAGATAAAAAGGATTCAAGAGAAAGTGACAAATATTGAAGACAAAGACAATTTACTATATTGTGAGAAGTGAGATGATTCATTTTCAGAAATACCAAATAAAAGCTGTGCTGTTTAGTTAACAATAGGTTTACAACCTACTGGAAATATGTATGAACCCCCCCCCCCAAGCCCCCGACAGTGAAGTCCCAAACCCTTACACACCTGACTTCCTGGTTCTTCGTCCCCTCTCCATTTCGCGGGCTTTGCAATGAGCATGTGCCACCAAACTGATGTCTCTGCGTCACCTCAAGGAATGTACACTTGTTCCATTCAGACTACTTTTTGGCCTTCCGTGGGCACAGGCGACATCCGGGTAAGGCCATAACCTCTGTAGCACTCAGCCAATAAGGAACCAGGGGAGGGACTTATGTGCTAGGAGATAAGTTGTCTGCTATAACCACTGAGTGTCCCTGTCTGTCAGACACCTGCTCTTGCAAGAACGTCAACTAAAGCCTCACTTCACTGTGCTCCGAGTCTCCTTGTCCCCCTTTAATTGGGGTGGAGGGCTTATTTCTCACAATATGAATAAAAGAAGCCCCAGAAAAGAAAAATCAAAGGGACAGAATATTAAAACTATATTTAAGAAAACTTCTTTAAAATAAAAAAGTAATTTTAACTACATATTGAAAGAGTACATTGGGTATTGAGTATCCAATCTCACTCACTCTGGTGAGTTTCTTGGACTTTAAAGGACAGAAAATCCTCTAAAAAGCTATGTAAAATTCAAGTGACTATAAAAGAAAATTTGATTATCATTAAACTTTTCAGCAGCAATACCCAGTAATAAGGAATATGACAATTCTCTCATTTCAAGCGTGGTTCAGAACAGGCACCCTCACGTGACTGACAAAGAAGCAAAAGATGTCAGAGTGAAAGTATTAAGCAAACACCTCATAATAATGAATTTGAATCTGAACTACCACTGTGAAGTATCACTCACGATGTACGAAAACAAAGTGAAGACTTTCCAATTCTGTCCAATTAAAAGTAAGCTGCCCTAGAATCCAGACTGTTATATTCAAACCCCACTTCCCATTCAAAGGAACCAGGACCCACAGAGACGTGTCAGGAAGTGTGCAAGCGGAGCCTAGAACCCAGTCATACCTGAGAGCAAAGAAGCTATCAGAGACTCACTGGGTCACATCCAGTAACTCAGAGGCCAGCCTGAAGACGCTTTCACAGCCCAAAACGAGACAACACGGGCATGGGTGAGCGTGCTGGCTCAGTGGAATGAAACACAAACATACCTCAAACTGTGCAGGCATAATTATGGTAAAACAAAACAAACAAACAAACAAAACCAACTGGTCATCAATGAAGGACACAAGTGAACCAGGTTATTACTGTGAAAACAAATAAATAAAGGGAAAGAATCAAGTAGTTACAGAGCATCCAGCTAGTAAATGGGGGAAGGAAAGAGACCAAACGTCACGCCTGCAATCCTCAGTGAAGTAATGCACAGTCAATGACCCTCAGTGCTTCCTGAGGCCACAGAAAGACAGATGGCCAGACACCACACGCCTCCTGACCGAACCCTGCAGCACCACCTAAATGAAGCCTGAACCCAACTACCAATTTGCAGGAAAACACAATGATCAAAGCAACACGTTTCAACAACATTGCACGGATGCAACTGACAAATCCAGTCCGTGAGGCCCCAACAGACACAGATGAGTGACCTTCTGCTTCCAAAGCATAAAGGACAGACAGGAAGCCCTCACTAAGGGACTCAGAACACACAGCACTCTGTGACCTGGAGGGGCTTTCTGGATCTTGATTCAAATAAATTGCTTTTTAAAATCATGTTTAGAGGTGCCTGGGTGGCTAGTCAGTTAAGTGTCTGAGTCCTGACTTCGACTCGGGTCATGATCTCACAGTTTGTGGGTTCCAGCTCCACATCGGGCTTTGGGCCGACAGTGTGGAGCCTGCTCAGATTCTTTATCCCCCTCCCCCACCCCTAACCCCGCTCACATGCACCACTCTCTCTCTCAAAAATAAACAGTCAAACAATTTATACAAAGGTGGAAAACCAGGGCTAAGACTTAGGCAGGCACGAACCACGGCTGAGGGCAAACCCACTAATCCACGACATCCACAAACGTCCCCAGGGCCTCCTCGGCACGGGGCAGGCTGGAGGCCACCATGTTCAGCCCCCTCACCACTATTCAGGTAACATAAAGTCAGAGTGGAATAGGCCTGGCTCAAGCTGACTGATCCTGAGGGTGTGGGGCCCTCAAGCCACACACTGAGTCCTGCCTTCTCCCTCTGCTACCTGGAGAAGGCGAGGGCCACCGACCCTCCAGGGCAGGGCCTTTGGGCCACTGAGATACAGGTCTTGGAAGTCCATGCATCCACTGACTTCTTCAAACAGCTGAATGGGAATTATTTATAAAAGGCCTCCTTCCTTATCACACAAAAAACTTCATTCCTAAAGCACATGATGTCTAGTGAGAATCTTGCTGGATACATGAACGGGGATCTAACCTGGAATCCATACTGACAAATCTGTCCTTAAGATTCCTAAAAATTTGGGGGCACCTGGCTGGCTCAGTCAGTAGAGCATGTGACTCTTGATCTCAGAGTCGTGAGTTCAAGAGTTCAAGCCTCACATTGGACATGGAGCTTACTTTAAAAAAAAAAAAGATTCCAAGAATTTCAACAACAAAGCAACTAACGAATTGAACACAAAGTACCAAGCTGCTCATTCTGAAACATTAACCCAATGCCTTTTAAACAAATCATTAACAAGGAGTAGAATTTTTGACATGTTACCATGTCAGTATGAGCAAAGAGGAATCAAAGTATACATTTTTTTTCAATGTTTATTTATTTTTGAGACAGAAGGAGACAAAGCGCCAGTGGGGGAGGGGCAGAGAGAGAGGGAAACACAGAATCCGAAACAGGCTCCAGGCTCTCAACTGTCAGAACAGAGCCCGATGCGGGGCTTGAACCCACGAACTGTGAGATCATGACCTGAGCCAAAGACAGACACTTAACCGACTGAGCCACCCAGGTGCCCCAAAGTATACATTTTTGAAGCCCACTTTAACTATGCTTTCTTTATAGTTTGGAGAATAAATCAATTTCCATGTGGCTGATGATTTGGGGATGATTCTAATTCTCTAAGCCCAAAGTACTCCATTCAGAAGCTTTCAGAAAAAATAAGGTGACTGTGAAAAATAAGAACATGCCCTTTCTTGCACAATCCAGCAGGGCCAAAAAACAAGCCAAGGGACATGCACTTGAGTGGTCAAAGCCAGCCCGTACCCTCTGCAGGATATGGATTCAGTAAGTTACAGAAACACCAGGGGAGAGAAAACCACCCTGCAAGCAGCTTCAGACAGATACCGCTGGTCCCTCCCTACAGGGTTCCTCTGAGAAACTAACAAATCATACTATTTCTACTACAGATGCGGACACACAACGTGGGAGGAGAAGCCAGAGCAACTTTGCTGACCACAGTCAGCACCAGCTGAAGAGGCAGCTCTCCCAGCAATCACGCTGAAAGCACTGCACGAGGACAGGACAGACGACCCTCATTTCTGCACCTTCTTGTTACTACCATACCTAGCTGGTAATATTCTCAATCAACAAAGCTCTTCTTATGGAAAGTCACCTCCAACTCACACTTCTAGAACACTCCAGACGAAAGGAGTGCAGAGTAACATACCTCTAGAGCCCACAGTCTGAAAACAGAAAACGAGTTCCAATACATTTAAGATGATTCAAACCAACATCGTTAGTCATTAGGGAAAGGCAAATTAAAACTTCAGTGACGTGCATATCTATTTGATGGGCTAAAGTTAAAAAGACTGGCCAAACCACGCACCCCAAGGGTTTGGGAGGATGCAGAGGAATTGGAACTCTCAGGCACTGTTGTGAATGTAAAATTACACAACCACTTTGGAGAACCATTTGGGAATCCCTTTCATACATGAATGATCAGAGAAGCTTTAGTTGCAATGGTCAAAAGAATGGTAACAACCTAAATGTCCATCAACATACAATGCATGAACAAA